CACCTAAGCAATGGAGTGACTATTTATTTTCGAAGCTGCATAAATATGACCTCTGTTTAAAGCTTTGTGGTAAGAATACGTATTTCATTTAGTTATTTTTATTATATTCTATTTAATTTATGAGATTAAATATTATCTTTAATTATTTCATTATTATTATTCAATATAAAAAATTAAATATCATATGTAATAAAAACAATATTAAATATTTAAGGCTTTTTGGTAAGAATGCATATTTCCTTTAGTTATTTTTATTTTATTCTATTTAATTTAAGAGATTAAATTTTATCTTTAATTATTTTATTTTTCTTATTTAGTCTAAAAAATTAAATATTATCTTTAACAAAAATGAAAACGATGTGATATTAACCTTTTTTTATTATAAAGTTAGTTTATTAATTAAAAGTGAAATGGGATTTGTTTGTAATAACAAAATACATATACAATCATGCATGTTTAACTCTCTTTCTGAACTTGAAGGTTATATTGAATTTGATGGTTTTTCAGGAGTGGAAATGCTTAAATGGATGTTAGAGCACGAGATTTATGAATAGATGTTTGAAGTTACTCCAAAATAATATAGTATTTTTATCTGATGAGTTGATATGTATTTAAAGTTTATTTTCCAAACTTGAAAGTTTCATTGGATGTTTTTTGAAATCTTTTCCATCCTATTTGAAATTGGACAACCTAGTTATTATTATTCATGATGTAATTTATATTTTCGAGTTATAACTTTTGATTAATATTGTTTTATTTTTTTCTCACTTCTTTGATGTATTCTCCAAAAGATGAAAATCATTGATATTAGTTAGAAAAAATTGGTTTTCTAGAAAGAGATTATTGGTTGGGATAGCATTTGAGTGGGTTCTTCATCAATTAATATTATAATTTAAGATAATTGATCAAAACTATCAATACATAAAAAATTTCTGAAAACATCCTTGACTAGTCTAATAAGTAAAGTCTTGTTAGCTGTGGTTATAAGATCTTGCTATGCATTATTGCATGGTTTTTACTGCTTTTGACCTCTCTTATTTTTTTTTTATATACAACTTTTGTTTTTTCTTACCGATTTATCATTAGTTTTATGACATTAACACCAATTAATAATAAATCTTGGACTATTATTAAATACAGAAAAAACATTAACATTCTTAAAACACCAAACTTGCATTATTCACACTTAGAACTATGACAACAATTTAATTTAGAAAATAATTAATTTTTCTTTGTAGTCTTTGAAAATAGTATTTAATCCTTATGTTTTTATATTCATCTATGATTTAATCTTTTACATACATTTCATCTTCTTATTATTTTAATCCTATGACTTGCTATGACTCGAAATATTAAAGTCTACATCTTAATTCTAAAAAAGGGTTTAAAAAGAAAAAAATGGTTTTTGATATTTTGGTCAAACCTTAACGGATAATCATAAACTAGTTATGATATCCATTTTTTGGATTTTTTAAATAGTAAGAAAAACATAATTTTTTTTATTTTGAAACATGCTTGGAGAATTCTTTAGGACTTAGCCGCATGTAATAAAATATTTTTTTCTTTTTTATTTATTTATTTTTTGAAATGTTTTTAAATATTTCAGTGAAAACCGGATATTTTAATACCGAACTTGTATCTTAACATGTAATTATACAACCCAATATTAAGCAAACTTGGTAGAAAAATATTTAAGAAAATAAAAAAAAAATTGAAATGATTTTTAAAATTTTTTTGAAATTTTTTGAATTTTTTTGGTTTTTACATATAATATAATATATATTATTAAATATTAAAACATGTGGGCTGGGCTCAGACCAGGATAAGTGGGCCAACATCGGCCCAACAATGGTTGGGTCGATTTTGGCCCAGGAGTCGCGTGGGCCGGTCTGGACCATAACTGGCCCGACCCATGCAGCTAAGTAATTAGCTGCTGCATGTAGAAATGAATTCTGCATGCAACGGCCATGACAATGGAGGGGAGGGGGATGAATAGAGGAAGAAGAAAATGAGACAGAGAGGAGGCTTACCTGGCGTTGGAGAGTTGGCGGTCGGGAAAAGGACGACGAAGTGCTGCTGTTGGTTGCAGCGATGGAGGCCGGCAATGGTGGTGGTGGTGGTGGCTGAAGGCCACGGTGAAGAGGGAAAGAAAGAAAATTTGTAGAATCCTGCAGAAAAAAAATGATTTTTAGCTGACTTTATACTCGGCTTTCTCCTCCCTCTGAGCATTAAATTTTCTCCTATTTATAGGGATCGAAAGAGGGTAATCTCTTCTTCAACAAGGAAAAATTCTCAGCCCTTGATTCGACTTGAGGAATCCAGACCGTTGGCTCAAAGTGTGCACCTCGAACTACCAAATTTGACAAATTTCAGGTTGTATGCTGCCCGAGGTGGCCAATTTAGGCCCACCAACGGAGCCGTTTTGAATCTTATAAACCCGACCGGACAATTCACGAGGATAGAGAAGTTGTAGGTGAACATGTTGGTGCACGCGTTGTCGTATTTGGTGGCCAAACGAGGCAGAAAATGCGTCTGAAACGTTGCTACTCGGGCAGCTTTTCGGGGAAGACGATGAACAGTAACCCCTTTTTAGCTCATAAAACTTCAACTTCAGCCCTGAATTTATGCGACTTTTTCATTATAGTCCTTGGTTTCAGATTTATGCAATTGCACCTCTAATTGACCATTAAACTTTCAATTTCTTCAATTTAACCTCTGATTTCACTTAATTAATTGGTAAAAATTAAATTTGGTTTCTTAAAATTCCAATCTTCTCAATTAAGCTCAAATTAGACTCCCAAAATTAATTGTTTTCACCAATTAAGTCTCAAATAAAATTAATTTGACTCATTTAAAGTATAATTAAGTCCTTGCACTTAATTAAATCATTCAATTGGACCTAAATTAATTCTTGAACATAATTAAAATTTAATTTGGCCTATGGTTAAATCAAATTGGCCCATTAAAAATTTAATTATATCATTGGACTTAATTTTTATGCAAATTCATCCAATGCTCATTTAATTTGACCTTTGAGTTTGCATTTTTCTATTTTTAGGCATAATAGAGTACAATTAGGCCTTGAAATTCCTTCTAAAATTGCAGCTTTATTTTTGTCTATTTTTGCAAACTTTCTAGATCAGCTTTCTTCATATTGCCAGCCTTTATTTTATTTTTTTTAAAAAAAGTGGATTTTGGAGAATAACTCAGAATTGGATTATGACACATCTTTTGAATTCATTAAAAAAATATGTAAATTATAAAAAAAAATATTTTTTTTCTAATATACATAATAATAATAAATTAGATGATAGTAACTAGAAAATAGGAATTAGTTTGATAAGTTGAACTCCATGATCAGTGGAGATATCAAGTTTTTTTATATATAATATTACAGTTTTATTGATGAAGTGAGACGAGTTTAAATTTTATAATTTTTATACTTATACTATACTATAGGAATGCGGTTATGTGAAAAAAAAAAGTTTAGTGATAACTGCTTTAGCCCTTCATGGTTGCCACAAGGTTAATTATTTAATCTCATGCTCATTGCCTGCAAGCTAAGCTTCGGCAGCCACCAAGTTGCTATTAAGGTAAGTTCTCCACCTGCATGTTCTTGCTTTTCAAGCTAAGCGTAGGCATCTTTGGCTACATTTACTTAGTCCCTGTTATTTATAAAGCTTATAATTTAGTTCAAGTCAATAAAAGCTTAACAGTAATTTGATACGCTAATGGCCATGAGATTAGTAAAAAAAACAATATACAAACTAACCTGAACACACGCATGTTAATTAAAAATAAAAAAGATAACATTATCATTCAAAAGTTAGTAATACAATAACCTTTACTTATTTTTCAAGTTTCATTCAAATGTTAGGAATAGAATAACTTTCACATATTTTTCAAGTTTAGTACTAGAATGGTAGTGGAATAATTCTTTTAATATTTAAAAATTAAAAAAAAAAATACTGTGTAGCTGTTTTGTATAAATTGTAAAGTTAAGGAGTCTTTTTTGCTTGGTAAAATACGTCACAATAAAGTCAATAAATAATAACAAAAGAAAGGAACAAATTTAATAAATAATAGCATGCTTTAATAGATTGTTACTGTAAAAGCGCAGAGAGAAGAACGGTTCAAGACTGAACAATAATGTTAACGCGTGGACCCATTTGTCGCAACCAGCACGAAACTCCAGCTCAATATTTACCTTTGACCTCTTTTATAATTATGATTATTGCATTGCTAATAATTTCCAAGAAAGATGAACAACCTTTTTTAGTGAATTCAAAATAAAATAAAAAAGGTTTGTTGAGGCTTTTCTTGGAACCTCGCTCTGGGATTAATTAGCGAGAATAAGAAAATCCTGTGTCAATGATACAAATTTCCTTGCTTTTTTTTTCCTTGCATGCGTTACATTTTTATCTTTTATAATTATAAAAGATAAAATTGCTAATAATTTGCAAGAAATAATATTGTTTCTCTGAAAAGGGCTTAAGAAAACCCTAAGTATTGTAGATAATCTCTTATAGGAATTTCTTTATTAAAGGCATTTTTTAAAATAAAATAATATTAAATTAAGCTCAATATTATTCAAATTATTAATTAATTATAATTAACTTGAGGTCTTGAGAAGAAACAAAAGGGAAAGACAAAATTACATTTGCCACAACCATAAATTGTTTTTTTCTTTCCAGCCCGTCAAGTAGTTTGCTCTTTCTTACTGGACCCCCTTATCACGGGAATCACAAGAAAAGATTTAAAAGTAATTTGAAATATCTTTAAACCGAGTGGAAAGTGGGAAATATCCACTTTTCCACTCTCCACTGAGCGTGAAAAGAAACAAATAAAAGTTAGTGTTCGCATTGCTTTAATTCAAGAGTCTTTCATGGTTGCCTTGAATTGATCGACAGAAAGAAGTCTGAATATTTTTAGAAAGAAGCAGCCTTCATTGCTTTTCAAAACTAATTTCTGGATTTATTAGCAAAAACTCCAAATCGCGAGTGCTAGACAAAATTAATTATACATTGCTATAATAAAATTACGTATTTATTTTTAAGTGGGAAAAAATCAAGCCATGAGGCCAGGGGTTCTTTGGTCTTTCCCTATTTTCGTTTTGGCCACCGAATTTTGTTTTTATATTCAATAAAAGAGAAGGGTTTGTGTAATTATCAGATAATTGAAATCATCGCTAATCTCCTCTGTTCATTTTCATCTTTTTTTATTACCCTTAGCATGATACACAGAAAAGAAGAACGCGAGGTTAAAGAGAGAACAATAATGGAGGGGAATCAAAATCTTTATTTGATTTTATGTTGTGTTTTTGGTACGTACATTGATCAACAATAGCTTGGAAGAGCTTGATACCAATAACCTTTTCGACCTCAATAAATAATGTTAACGTGTGGATCCAGTTGCTGTAGAAATTTTGCAAAGGATCTGTAGGAAGACAAATGAAATTTGCTTGGTTGTTTGGTTTGTCTGTCCAGTACTTAGAAAAAACAAAGAGAAAAAACAAAAGGAAAAGGAAAGCATTATTTTCATTAATAGTGATTTGTGAGAAAAGGTATAATAAATGTTGAGATTATAATATTTTAATAAAAAATAAATAAAATAAATTATAAAATTTAATTTTTAAAAGTAAAATTAAAAGGAAAAAAACTAATTAAAAAAATAAAATCTGAATTAAATGAGTTAACTTGTTAAACTTGAGATATATATAATGAGAATGTGATAACTAAATATAAAAAAAAATTAATATTAATGAATTAAATAAAAAAATTAATTATATATATAAAAAAAAAAGCAACACTAAAACACTATAACCGAAGAAGATCAGTTTTAGTTATCAATAGAATTTTAGCTAAATTAAGGATCCAAGAATTGGCCTCTGTAACATAGTTTGTATTCTGAGTCAATCTGGGCTGGGACTTGAAACAAATGTTGTATACTGTTTGCACTGTCACCTTACTTATCTATATTAATTAGAATAGGCCTCCATCCTTTTAGGTTTTTATTGAGATTATGGATTCTATT